CTGGGAGTCCGGCTGCAAGCCCGGTGATCACACCAGTCCTACAGCCACAGGGCTCTGGCCTCACTGCAGCTCTTGCTGAAGTTGGGTGGTTCCAGGCCTTTTTCCCCTCCGCAGATAATCACTTTAATGCAAAAGCATAGAACTAAAACTCTGAGATTAGCTGTTATAATCACATGTAAATACTTCCAGACAATCCGCTCAGGGAGGGGCAGCGTGTGTAGTTTGGGACAGAGTTACACGGGATTTAGACTGTTTACCACTCGATTAATTTCATGACTCCAGCCCCAAACCCACCGTTGTACCAGATGCCCGGCTCACTGCCCAGAAGTCAAGGTCACTCGGGCGGGAGGAAGCCGATAGCACAGAGCACCTGCATCTGCCAGCAGCAACCTGCCAGGCTCTGGGACCCCTGCACCCCAGCCCCAGCGGGACACGCCGGAGGAGGCAGGAGGAAGGCTGGGCCTGCCCGTCCCCGCTGGCCGGGTGCTGGGCAGGGGCTGGTGCAGGACCACAGACCAGAGGGCAGGGGCACGCGCAGGTTTCAATCCCTTTTTATTCATAAGCATAGTCAAAGCTTGAGAATGTCAGAATCGAACCCCTCCCGCAACCACCTACGAACCAACTCCAGAGTCCATCCCTCTTCAGAAGAAAAATAGAACATCTTCCACCTATGCTTCTTCCTACTCTGGGTTCCTCCAGTCCAAAGCCCTACTGCTGCCTGCCTGCAGGCCGGAGAAGCCAAGGGAGCGACGGCTGCCCTCACGCCAGAACCGCACGCCCCACAGCTGCGGAGCAGGGAGCGCGTGGCACACACACCTCTCACACCATACCGCTCGGCTGTGCTTGGCCCCACGGCTCTCTCCCAGGATCCTCGTGTGCCAGGCAGATGCCGATCCAAGTTTGGCCCACACAGACATGATTCAGGAAAAGGGATTTCAGACCACCAAGTGCAACAGGCAAAGAGACCAGCCACACGAGAGCGCTGCCACCGCTCAACCTGCCTCGGCACCTCGGCTGCGGAGCAGTCTCTGCTGGAGACAGCTGCCTGTGCCGGGGAGGATGTGCAGGACCCTCGCAGTGTGCGGCCAAGCAGCAGCATGCCCCTGCCGTGGCACACTCAGGCACATCCCTCGTGGCCCCGAAGCAGTAAGGCAACTGCTGGCTGAGAAGGCTCCTGCCTGGTGCAGCTGTCCAGCTCAGCACAGGTGTCCCAGTGCCAGCCCGGCCTGGCCCCGGTGCTAGTCTGCCAGCGTGATGACATCGTAGTGGATCCCCTGCTGCAGCTGCTGGATCTGCTCAGCTGTTGCCTCGGCGGTGAACACACCCTGGGCTTGGGCCATCGCAGCATCAGCCACTGCTGCAGAGGAGAGGGGGGTCAGTGCCTCCTCTCATCCGAGGGCAGGGGAGAGCAGGCAGCTGCCCAGGGGCCCCCTCCACGTTCACCACCTGCCTCCAGGGGAACGGGCAGGCATGCGACGTGAGCATAAGGGCCACTACACCCACGCGGGGCTCCAGTGGGGAGCCTGGCTCCCGTTAACTCTGCAAAAACACATCAGGGTGTCTCCACCCTGTGGAAGCTGCTGCACCTCCCAGCACAGCAACTCATCTCCAGGGGAAGGGAGCTGGTACTCTTCCAGAATGGACAGGCTGGGACCAGCAAAGATCTCCCCTCAGACACCAAGGCTGGCCGCTTCCCAGATCTACAGGGATGAAGGCAGCAAGGTAGCAATCTAGCCTCGCCTACCCCAGCCCTTCCGCCAAGGGCTGCTGCACTGCTGCCCCGCCACCCCTACCAGCTACAGCAATCTAGCAGCCTCTGCAGGCAGAGCTGGGCTGAAACCAGGGCGTCTCAGTGGCTGCCAACAGGCATCACAAACTGCCCGGCAGGACTGGCACCCCGAGACCCGGAGGGAGATGGGACTGCCAGAGCTACGCCAGAGCTCAGCCCTGGGGCCCTGGTCCTACCTGAGACTGCTGAGTGTGCAGCTGCTTCCAGCTGCGCCTGGGTGACAAGCTGCTGCTCAGGCGAGACAGGCATGTACTGGATCTGCAGGGAGGAGAAACAGGAGAGTCCACTGCTGCTCTGGCCACAGCTGCTGCAGCGAGTCACCAACCCACGTGCACTTTCTATGTCACACCCCTCCCTCTCCAGCTGTATGCCCAGAGCCCATCTCACAGCAGCCCTGTCAGCTCCAGCCACCATGCCTGACCCCTTACCTGCGGCTCCTGGAGGAACTGGCTGCCCTGCTCATACTGAATGTGGGTGATCTGACCATCCTGTACCTGGGGACAAGAGCCACAGTGAGGCTGCGTTAGGGCTAGCGGGTGTCCCTGCCCCTGAACAAAGCTGTGACTCAAACGGAGCAAGCTACAAGGAGCAGGAGGAAGCTGAGCCCCGCACACGGCACCCTCATGAGCCCCATCAACCGCGCAAAGGGAGCAGACAGCCTGAAGCTTACCTGGATGTGATGTCCCTCCGGGACAACAACATACTCATGGGGAAGCAAGTGCTGTACACCATCCTGGGCAATGATGTACTGAACCTGCAAACACAGGGATTCAGACCCAAAAAAGAGGTCACCACTGCCTGCCCCCCACGCCGCAACAGGACTGGTTCTTGTCTGTCTTCTGTGCCTGTTTCCACCCCACCTCTCCCCACTGCCCCCAGCTCTCCCCGCTGCAGCTGCACAGAATCTTTTGGATCCTGGGACGCGGCGCCCCCCTCACCTGGTTGTCAGAGGTCACTAAGTGCTGTACTGTCTGACCATCGGCAGTTGTGATCTCCTGGATGTACGTAGCCTCCTCCTGTGGGTCAGCAAGAGCCCAGCACTGTCAGTGGGGGTGGGCCTGACCGCAAGCCCTCTGTGAGGAGGGAACCCGCGCTGCTCGCAGGGAGTGGCCACACAGGGTGGGAGGATGAGACCAACCAGCCCAACTCACCTGGCTTGTGACGCTCTGCTCCTGTGCGACGATGATGTGTTCCTGCCCCAGGGCCTGCTGCAGCCGCTCGGGACCTGGCCGGACTGCAGAGCCGCTGGAATGCAGAGAAAGTCGGACACTGGCAGGGCTGCCGACCAGCCCCGCTCCCGAGCGGCCCCTGCCAGGTGCCCACCCCAACAAGAAGCACAGGATAGTCTCTTAGCTCTGCTCACAGAAGGTCAGAAGCTAAACCAAACTCTCCCAACGTGACGGAAACTAGAGGTCACTGTGGGCAAAACACAACCTCCACATCAGAACTCTGCTTCCCGTTTCGGCCGTGAGCTGCTCCCGCAACGCACTGATCTATTGGGACCTGCTTGGAGGAAACACTGGACCCCTAGTTCTGCACAGAACCATAACAGTCAGCACCTCCCCAGGAGAGCTCTCTGCGCCCAGCCCCCTCATCTCTGCACCTCCCGAGTCCTGCCGCCACTGGCA